TTTCGTCCATTTTCAATTGGACGATAATTGACATTTCCCTCGGTCGGCACAGCGCAATATCGGGATCCGCCAATTTACTTAAAGCACCTAAATTAAGATCGCTGTTTCCCCGATGTTGGCCCCGATGGGAGGGGAGGGGAGGGGGGGACAAATTTTTTTTCCGGGCGCGCAGCTTTTTTCGCCCGATCAGCGAATAAAAATGCAATATCGTAAGATATACGCTTTCACGCAGAGCGGAAAGATAAAGTAAGAATAACTCGTTAACCCCGTTTTCCAATTTCGAAGCCCGCGGAATAATGGTACTTTTGTATTATGCATTGAAATCGACACCTCGTTGCTGTATTTAAACGAGTTTTCAAAAATATCGTGCCGGATGAAAAGAAAACTGGAGGATGCGGTGTAGGATTATCTTCGATAATTTCCATATTTTTATAATTGTGCAACTTCGAGTAATTTTAAACATATTTCAATCAATATTAAATTATATGGATATATAATTATGAGAATCGAACTATTATATATTTAATCTTCACGCGTAATTATTAACTTATCACGAGGAAAAGGCCAGTTAATTTATTTTTGTCGACATTATTATTATTCATAAATCATTACCTATATGTTTATTCAGAATACATTGTCAGATATAGATTTGCAGATCCAATTAATATATCAATTTTTTACTTCTAGTTTCTGATTGAGGAAGAATTAACGAATTAAACAACTCGTAGAACAGCAATTTAATCATCAATGTAATCTCTAACTGAATTTCAGAAAAGATACACGCAGAGAGGCACGCGGAGAAGAGAACGAACCAAAATAAAGGGTACAATGAAAGAGGAGAAAAAAGAAAAAGGCAAGAACTGGTGTCGCGAGAAGCAAGTCGTCGAGATGTCTTCATCGTTCCACGATTCGAAGCCGTTCGTCATTTCCGGTGGACGAGACTCGCGACTATCTCTTCGTCTCGCGAGTCGATCGTCGAATTTGTTTTGCAATCCCGGCGCCTTGTTTATCGTTGGTACACATCGTGTACCGTCCGAGAGATAGAAGACCTCGTTCCTCGAGGTTCGGGGTTTCGTCCGGTCGGCGAAAGGGAATGCATCGAACGGCCGGCTCCGGTCCCTTTTTCGCGTTTCCTGACCGGTATCTGCACGTGTAAGGACAGGGCAAAGCAGATAGCGGCGTGGCGAGCGTGTCGATCCGTTTATCGAGCCGTGTATTTACGCGCGCCGTGACTCGTAGACGCGCGTTCGCCAGATAACCGCGATAATATAGAAACGCCAATAATGAAATACGATAAGCCGGGCATAGAATTTGTATACGACGGCCCGTCGTGGATTAAAGAGCTGTTAGCATAATCTGAACGACTCTATACCTATGTCCCAACAAACAGGCGCGCGGGGGCAATTAGAAACGCTTCTCGTTCGTCGTACACCGCTGCGTGTATATAATCCACGCACGCGGCCGTATACACTGGAGGGGGATACACATCGAGAGGCGTACAACGGGCTCGATACAACGAAGATCGAGATACGTAAGTATTATGCGCGATTTGCTCGACCGCGATAAACCTTTCGCGCGTTTCCTCTTCCCCGCGAATAAATTACGCGACGATAGGTTGACACGCGTCCCGCGTCCAATTCTTTTTTTCCCTTTTCGAAATCGAAGATTCCACTCGCTTTCGTTGAACGTCGCTAATCGTCTCGTTTTACGCTTACATCGTGCTTGTCGCTGACTCGACGGGACCCTTCTTCCCTCACCCTCCCTGGTCCGTATCCCCTCCCTTTCCATCGTAGTTTTATCTCTGTCCGCCAGGAGGACGGGAACACGCGTCGTCGCAAGACTCAGGTAGGGAGCAAAGTCAATTTCGAGGCGAGATGCCACGGGGTTAATGGGCCTCCTTTGTCGTAAATTCGGGCTTTAGTGTGAAAGCTGCCTAAACCTACCTCCGTTGCTCCTTCCTCGCCAGAGGAATCCCCCTCGCTTCGTGCCTCTGGGAGCCTTGTAACAAACAGGATACAGGTACTTCGGATTTTTTTTTTGCTCTCTCTCTTTCTCTCTCCTCCATCCTACCTTCTCTCGCGCACGATTTTTCTTCCTTTTCTTTCGCTTCTTCTCCCTTTTTTTCCCGTTCTGACTTACTCCCGTGTCGCTGATCTTTGTCGCTCCTCCGAGACCGAGCCGTTCCTTCCTCGAGCATCCTTTTTTCTCCACTCGTTTCTTACGCGATCTCCCGTATACATCGCTCTCCGTCCTATCGTTTTCTTTCCTTCCAACCTTGCCCGGGCCAGCACGGTCCTTTCTCTTTGTCACGCTTTAACGTCCTTTTCTTCTGTTTTCCAGCTATCTCTCTTCCGCCCCCTCCATCTGTCGGCATCGCCTGCCGCCACATCGTCGAGCGATTTATTATCCGACC